CCCGCCGAGAACAGGAGGCCTTCAAGGATGGTGGAGAGGAAGAGCAAGAAACAGCCCTCTCCAGTCTGAGGGACCCTTACACATGACCCCTCACAGAATGCCCCCCATACAGAGGAGGAAGTGAAGTCCAGAGAGACTACATAACTCACTCAGGGTCTCACAGTTGGGATCCAAGTAATAATTGCTGTAATAACAACAAGTGAACTTTTATTGGAAGAACTTGCTTAAAGCCTCAGAACAATCCTGAGTTATTTTCTGCTTTTCTTCCTACTTAACAAATTTGGAAACTAAAAGCACAGAGAGCTGTCCAATGTCAGGCAGTTGGGCTATCACCTCAGACCTCTCTCCCCAGTTCCACCCAGCCCCTCCCTACTACCCCTCTCCAAGCATCCTGGCAAGCTGGCCCTGGGGCGCCAGAGTAGCTTCTTACCTGGATGTGCATCCTGGCCCTGCGCAGAAGGCTCAGTGTGGTGTATCGGGCACAGTCAGCCCCCAGGGGCATCTGCTGCTTCAGCTGCTCCAGGCACCGCTTCAGCTGGGCCCTCCTGTGGGGGAAGGGGTCTAGAGGGCAGTGCCAGCCCAGGCTTCCTGGCCAGATGAGGGACGGCAGGGGAGGGAAGGCCAGAGGGAGGCAGTTCCTGGGGCCTGGTGCTATCAGGGCAGGGTTGGGACTCACCTGCGCTTCTCCAGCTCGTTGTGCACAGACCTGCCAATGCCAGGGAGGATGGGGTGAGGGGGTGTCAGCTACTGCCCACACCTTCAGTCCCAGGGCTCCCAGGGCCTCAAAATTCACTACAGATGTGTATCCCAAACTAGCCCACTGTGGGGACCTTGTGCTGGCCTCAGGCACCTGAATCCCAGGCAGAGGCAGAGACAGTAAGGAGGCCTGCCCAGGTGACTGTGGGGTCCAAAGGAGGCCCCTTAGCAGCAATCAGGAAGGGCTTCCTGAACAGGTGACATGTGAGCTGAGCCCAGCAACACAAGTTGCCCAAAATGCGTAGTGCGGGGAGAGGCATTCAAATTGGGGGGAACAGTGTGCAAAGGGTTGAGAGGAGGAGAGAAAAGGAGAAAGCCTGTGGGGGAAAGTGAGTGGTTTGATATGTGCAGTATTAGGAGTGTGAGTGGAAGCAGGACCCAGAACTATTCACCGTTCCAAACACATCAGGGGTGCTCGAGAAATAGTCCTTGAACGAAGAGTGTGTGTTTGGGGGATGGGGAAACGGCAGGAGGTGTCTGAATGCCTTCAGAGCAGGGTACCTGGCCCAGAAGATGCGAGCAATAAGGAGGAAGTTGGCAGTGGAGGGGCCCGATGAAGGACGGCGTCCATCCCCCCCATTCCCCGCTGCCCCAGGCCCTCCTCACCGCCCACTGTCCAGCGCGCCAGGAGCTTGGGGAGACCGCTTCCTCCTCCTGTGGACTGGGCCCGGACTTCGGTGTGGGCACAGGGACGCATAGCCATGCTCTGCCTCTGCGAGAGACAGCCCCCGCCCACGTCAGGCTGGGGCTAGTTCCAGCGGGGTCCCCTGGCACGGCACGGTCAGGGAGGGGCTTTTGGTTACAGGGCCATTTCCCCACCCCCTCCAGCCCCACTGCCCGCGGACCCCTAAATTGAGGGCGGGGGTGCCCCAGGGCTACTGCCCTAAGGCCATGCATCCTTCAAGTTGGGAGCCAAGTCCAGCCCAGGCCAGTGTCAGCGAGGTCGCCGCCTGGAGTCCGACCAAGGGTTCTTACTCACCTCTCTCGCGGCGCTCCAGGAACTCCGCTGCCTGCAGCAAGACCTGGATGTTGCTGGCCACGGGTTCCATGTCGGCGACAGCTGGCTGCGGGCGGGCCTAGGATGCTGGCCGGAGCAGCGGCTGCACCACTTTTGTTACAATGTAACTGACACGGTGCAACAAACACAGACGCCCGGCCCGCCCCCGGAACGCCCCGCCCCGGGACAGCCCAGCTCTTGGCCCCGCCCCTGGAACGCGCCCGGGAACCGCAGCCCACCCTCCGCGAGCCCGCCCGCCCCCTAGGACTCCCGTAGGGCTTCTATGGGCGCCGGATCCAGGCCCGGCCCTTGGGCGAACTCCCGGGCTGGGGGTGGGGGTGGGGTTGTGCTGCGTCTTGCCGCTTCGCTCAGCAACCCAGCGCTGGTTACTTGGCTTTTCTGGGCCTCAGTCTCCAGCCCCGTGCTGGTGGCAAGAGGCCCGCACACTGAGTGGTGCTCTGGGGGCCGGTGGTCCCGGGGAGGCCCCTGGCTCCGCCGCTGCACGTGGGCGCCACGGAGGTGGGGCCGGCGGGCACCCTCGCCCATTTGCTCTTTGCCTCTTGAGGCTCGCGGACGTCACCTTGGGGGCGGGGCAGGGGGGCCTCTCAGGCACTATTGGCTGCGTGCGGCTCCGCCCTCTCCCGCTGCTGGTCAACACATTCGGGCGGGAAAAGGAGCAGGTTTCAAATTTGAAAACCCTGGCTACGGGGGCGGAGTTAAGCGGGGAACAGGGCCCAGTGCGCAAGCGCCGGGGGAGGGGGCGCGGACCTGGCTCCTGCGCTCCAGGGTCTGTGCCCTTGCCTGCTTGCCATCTGCCCCCGTAGCCCCCGCTGGGCTCCTCCTCCTCATCTGCAGGGAAGCTATTGTTGCTACGAAAACGTCAGAAGGGTAGCAACTTGAGAACTTGCTTGCTTCAGAGTCCTGGGTTCTGGAGTCAACAGAGTTGAGTTCCTGTCCTGTCACCGCTGCTTCTCAGCTGTGTGACTCGGGAAGTGCCCTCCCTCCCGTAAGCTCGGGAAGCCCTGAGACAGCGTCGTTGAAAGATCAGAGCCCACGCCTATGCCGTGCATTTCCAAGGCCTGTTGCAACCTCACGCAGGCTTCTTCCTCCCACAGAGCCCCTGGTTGCCTTACTCAGTCCATGAGCCCTTCTTTTTTTTTTTTTTTTTTTCCCAATATTTATTTGTTTATTTAGCTGCGCCGGGTCTTAGTTGCAGCATGCGGGATCTCGCTCCCTGACGAGGGATGGAACCCGGGCCCCTTGCATTGGGAGCGTGGAGTCTTAACCAGTGGACCACCAGGGAAGTCCCCATGAGCCCTTCTCTAACGTGACTTTCTAGCCTCCCGAAGAAGATGATGCGGTGATTTCTAGGGGCAGCACCAGTAGGTGTAGCCACACCTTCGGGGACAGTGACAATCTAAGGGTGGAGACCGGAAGACAAAAGCAGCTGTTACAGGGTGGAGCATTACTGCCAGGCTGGGGCTGAATCTGTGACCTGGAAATGGAGAGGAGGGAGAAGGAGGAACAAGATTCTCTATAAAGAGACAGTCCTGGGTAAACACATGGCACATGGCAGTCAGTCCTCAGTTCCTTGGAAAAAAACCTTTGAGTTTCTCTAAGAGTCAATTCCAGAGGAATCACTGACATGCCCAGCCAGAACTGCTGCCTGGGACTATCCACCCCTTCACCCATCCATTCACTCATGAAATATTTGCTGAGGACTTGCTCTACCTTAGGCACTGTGCTGGGAGCTGGAGAATACAAGCGTGGGCAAAACCAGACAGGGTTCTCGCCTCTGCAGAGCTCTCAGGTGAGGGGCAGAGAGACCAACATAGTAATCACACAGTAGAGATACAGTAGAGATACACAGTAGAGATACACAGTCCTCACAGGAAAAGACACAATGTAAGGGCACGTCCTAAGGAGCATTTGACCTAATCAGGGAGGTCAAAGAAGGTTTTTCTGGGGAGGTGGATGAGTAGGTTTTACCTATGTATAGGAGGAATGTAGAATCCCAGTCACACTAACAGCAGGTGCAAAGTCCCTGAGGCTGAAAGGAATGTATGCAGATGGAAAGAGGCCAATGTGGCCAGCATAGAGAGATCAAAGAGCATGGAGCAGGCTGACACTGGAGAGGCTGGCAGGGCCCAGAACAGGCTGCAGTGTTCCCCAAACCCCCACCTGCAATTAGTTATGTCTGAAGAAAGGAGTCACAAGACTTGTGAATGAATTTCCAATTTTATTTCACTAAAAGCACCCACACAGTGTAGGCACAAATCCACTAGTCAGATATCTGGGACCCAGGTGGCCCAGCCTTGGAGCAGGGGTAGGATTGGGGCAGGGTTGTGGGGGAGTGTCTGAAGGAGGAGAGCTCCCAGCAGAGGGACGGAGCTCTTAAAGAGTTGGGGCTGCTCCAGCTGGAGGCTGTGGACGTGAGGCAGGGGCTGCAAGGGGGGCTGGAGTAACCACATGGAGGAGTTTGGACTTCATCTTAGGAGGGTAGGATTCGAGCTAGGGAACAACATGGCCTCAGGGCTCCCATGAATTGGGCCAGGGCCACTAGCCAGAGGAGCAGGAAGCAATCCTTCCCAGGGAGCCGGCAGGTGGAGAGGATGGGGCTCCTACCCCAAGCCCTTGGATGCCCTCCTGGGCCCCTCTGAGAAAATGCTAGTGCTAGTGCCATCTGCACAGGGCTGGGCAGAGGCCTCCAGGGCTCTTGCCCCCTCAGCAGTGACTGGTCTTAGAACCTCTTCCCCAGACCCCCAGGTCCTGCATGGTCCAGCCTGCACACTGCAGCCTGTGGCCTCCCTGCTGGCTCCCCACCCCTTGGCCCTGCCTGCCTACAGTAATTATGCTGCCTGCAGTTCAATGCAGGTTCTGTCAGAAACCAGTATCCTCTGGGCTCCAAGGGACAGTGGCTGCCTCTGTGCCCTGAGTGGGAGAGGAGAAGAAGACCCCTAGCCTGCTGTCCTGCCCCAGTAGGACCCCTTGAAGACGGCAGCTTGCAGGGCTTGGCGCCAGGCTCACCATCCTCTCCCACCCTAAGGACAGGATGCCTGAGGAGATGGCTCCTGCTGTTCCCCTAGAACCCTTTCACTTCCTTCCCCGCAGCTGAGAGTAACAGCGGGAGGGGAGGTGGGAGTTGGGGCGGTATTGGAGCTAGGGCCTGGCTCAGACCCCGGACCCTGCCCAGCCCCCTCCCTATGCTCCCTGCCCCAGCCTTTCCCACTTCACTCATCCTCCCCTCTTCCCAGAGAGTAGCATTCCTTAGTCACTGAGCTAACCAGGTTGTACCCCTGCTGAAAGGCCCACCAGGAATCCCTCAGCCCTCAGGACAAAGTTCAAGCTGGGCTGTGCCCCTCCTCCTGCCATGTTAGGCCACACACCCTGCCCTTGCCCATTTCCCTGCCTCTGCCAGCTTGGCTTAACTGTCACTTCCTCCAGGAAGTCCTCAGGCCTCCAGTTTTCAGAGCACCCTTCTGAAAGCAGCAGTGGCCCTGTGTCCCTCAGGGTCAGCCTCCTCTGTCTGACTATAACCACGGTGATAGAGGAAGCCAGTGTTAAGAAAGGGGCTTGGCCAAGCTATAGTGGGGGAGCAGGGGGCGGTGGGCCTTGGTGGGCCTGGGTCTCTATGTGCACAAGAGGCTGGTGGTATAGCAGTCAACAGGCCCCCAACTTGGAGGCCACAGTTGGAATGCCACGCCCCCCAGGCATGTTGTCAGGAGCTGCACAACACAGTGACTGAGAGAGTCAGGGAGGCTAGCTGCTCCCTCTTTAAGTGCAGCGGAATAGGCCATGAGGCCAGGCCTGGCTAGACTACAGTCCCACTTACCCTGGATGAGGTCACCGGGAAAAGACCTCTGTAGGACCTGTAGTATGTCCACTTTTTTATTCCTGATATAGGTAGTTTCTCTCTCTCCCCCCGGCCCATCTTTCTGAGAGTTTATCAATTTTGTTAATTTGTTTAAAGAATCAACTTTGGATTTCTTTTGCTCCTTTGTTTCTTAAGATGGAAATGTACATAATTCACTTTATTCCTTTCTTCTTTTCTGCACATTGCTTTCACTGCATCCCCAAAACTTTGATGTGTTATAGTTTTGTTTTATTTTGTTTTTCATTCACATAGAGATATTTTCAGAATTTTTCTTTGACCTGAGACCTGTGGGTAATCTGAAGTGTTTTCCATAATGTCCAAACATTGGGGAATTTTCTACATGTCTTTTTGTTATTGGTTTGTAATTTAATTCTATGGTGGTTAGAGAATATACTCTTATGATTTTGATCATTTGAAATTTATCAAGGCTTGTATGGTCCAGTATATGATCTATCTTGATGAAGGTTCATAGGCATGTAAAAATAACGTGCATCCTCCGGTTGTTATGTGTAGTGTTCTCAAAGTGTCAAATTAAGTTGGTTGGACTTCCCTGGTGGCGCAGTGGTTAAGAATCCACCTGCCAGTGCAGGGGACACGGGTCCGATTCCTGGTCTGGGAAGATTCCACATGCCGCGGAGCAGCTAAGCCCATGCACCACAACTACTGAAGCCTGCGCGCCCTAAAGCCTGCGCCCCACAACTACTGAGCCCGTGTACTGCAACTACTGAAGGCCGTGCGCCCTAGAGCCCACGCTCCGCAGCAAAAGAAGCCACCGCAATGAGAAGCCCGCGCACCGCAATGAAGAGTAGCCCCCGCTCGCCACAACTAGAGAAAGCCCATGCACAGCAACAAAGACCCGACACAACCAAAAAATTAAATTTAATTAAAAAAAAATTAAGTTGGTTCATTGTGTTGCAAAAAAGAAAAAAAGTTTATATCCTTACTGATTTTGTTTTGTCTACTAGTTCTATCAAGTACTGAGAGATAAGGTTTTTTGTTTGTTTGTTTGTTTGTTTGTTTTGCAGTATGCGGGCCTCTCACTGTTGTGGCCTCTCCCGTTGTGGAGCACAGGCTCCGGACGCGCAGGCTCAGCGGCCATGGCTCACGGGCCCAGCCACTCTGCGGCATGTGGGATCTTCCCGGACCCGCGACCCCTGCATTGGCAGGCGGACTCCCAACCACTGCGCCACCAGGGAAGCCCAATAAAATTATTTTGACACAGTTGATTTTAGGTCTATCATT